ACTCAATTTAATTTCAAAATATCAATTTCATAAGTATAGGACAGATTGTTATTATATACCACTGGGTTAGAACCCACTCATAGCTGAACTTCAAGAGGTTTTTCAGAAGCTGTAAATCACATGGGAGGAAGTTGCCCATCTTTTCCCTGCAGAACTGGTGGATTTGAACTGTGAACTTTTGGATGGTGTAAAAAAAGCAAGGGCACGTGAGGATAGCCATATATGACATTCACCAACTCCACAAACAGGAACTGTCCCCATCAACATCAACAACACAAAGCCAATTTTGATGAGGTGAGACATTTTCTCCACACGCTTGCACCTCTAACTACTCATCCCAACACCAATCTCACTGTTTTACTGGGTCCCATTGCAATAGTTCACAGACCACACAGAATCATATAAGAGAAGTCAAAAGGCTAGAATTCAGGTTAGTAGCAAAATATCAGGACAGCTGCTGATATGGGCTTATAGACACCTCAACCTTCAGCCTCTCAAAGGCTTTAGGCCAGAGTTAGTCCTGCCAATTATGGCTCTCCATCCACTCTCCATCATCCAACAAACTTGGACAAAGCGTCTTAGCTCTGGTATCCGAAGGTCAGCTCCATATCATGTTGGGTTTCTGGTCTTCTTCAGCCACGGCTGCTGGTGCTGCTGTAGGTCTAGCTGGAGCAAGAATTTCTGGCCTCAAATGGCAGGCACTGCCTGCCTGCTTCTTTGCTTTTTGTGAGATTGTACAAATTACATTGCTGAATCTGCTTAATTTAATTTAATATTGAGACTAGCCAATCAATCCTTGTGGATAGGCTAACATATCCTTTCACATATGTTGCCTACCCACATAATACAGTCAGTCAATGGCTAGAAAAGTCATTTTTTATAATAAACCCTCATAACCATAGCTTGGTAGCACAATTCTTTACCACTAAGACACCAGAGCTCCCTATGGACTATGATATACAGTAAAAATGTATATTTATATTTATAAAGACATCTGTGAACTAGAAATAAAATTTTTCTACAATGAATCACTTTGATATGACCTTTCTCATCATTGCTTAATGACTCCCACAAAACGATTATGTCAGACTATACAAATGTGTTTAAGACCCACCAAGAAGACTGGACAGATTGTAAATAATATAAGTAAGGTATATAGAATCTATGCAGTGATGGGAACATGCAAGTTAGGGGTACAGATCCTTAAGAACTGTTCAGTTTTGCCATTCCACTAGGTTTAAAGAGAGCTAATTCCACAGCAGAGAGAAGACATCACTACCACTATGAAGAATATATAGGAGTAGAATGTGTCCTTTGGACTCAGGGACTCTGTATAGAGAATCTCCTGGATCTAGGAGGGAGAAAGCAGGGAGCAGGAAGAAAGCAGGGAGAGAGCTATCATACTGAAGACAATACAAGAGGATAAGAAGAAACAGCAGAAGCAAAACTAAGGAAGCCAGAAGGACAGAGAAGGCTGAGTTCTTCCCTGCAGGAGGCCTCCTGGCAGAGTGAGGGGCCTCTAAGGCATTGCTTAGGAGCTAGGCTTGCTGATCAACAGAGATAAGCACCTTCTGACCAACGTTTATTGGCAGAGTGTAACTCACAATGCCTGCAGGCACTAAAATGAAAGAGCTCAGTAACATTAGCCAAAGAAGAACTGAGGGTACGCCAAGGGCTCGAGAGAGGCCCATCTACAGGCATGGCTAAGAAGAGGCTGTCTTCATAAAAAGAAATTGTACCTTGAGTTGTTCACGATCATTAATTATAATTTATTCCCCTAATAAGAATTTAATGAAATAACATGTGAGCAAGAGCTTAGTGATGGAGGAAGAAGTTAAAGCTGCTTTGAGGAAATAGCAAAAAACAAGGCCCCAGAAATAGATGGTATACCAATTGAGGTATTTCAGCTAACAGATGCTGCCCTGGATGTGCTCACCAAGTTGTGCCAAGAAATCTGGAGAACAACCACTTGGCCAACTGACTGGAAGAGATCTATATTTGTTCCATCCCAAAGAAGGGTGACCCAACAGAGTGTGGAAACTACAGAAAAATATCATTGATTTCAAGCAAGATTCTACTGAAGATTATCCAAAAACAACTGGAACAGCACATCAGCAGAGAACTGCCAGAAATCCAGGCTGCGTTTAGAAGGGGTCGTGGTACTAGGGATATTGTAGCTGATGTTAGACAGATCTTAGCTGAAAGCAGGGAATACCAGAAGAATGTCTATCTGTGCTTCATTGACTATGCAAAGGCCTTTGACTGTGTGGATCATGACAAACTGTGGCTAACTCTGAGAAGAATGGGAATCCCAGAACACTTGATCGTTCTAACGTGAAACCTATACTTGGACCAAGCAGTAGTTGTCAGAACAGTGCAAGGAAACACTGTATGGTTCAAAATTGGGAAAGGTGTACACCAGGGATGTGTCCTATCTCCATACCTTTTCAACCTGTATGCAGAACAGATTATCTGAGAGGCTGGGCTCTATGAGGAGAAGTGTGGTGTCAGGATTGGTGGAAGATCTATTAACAATCTGTGTTATGCAGATGACACAACCTTATTTGCTGAAACTGAGGAGGACCTGAAATGCTGGTTGCAGAGGGTTAAGGACTGCAGCCTTCAGTATGGATTGAAGCTCAATGTCAAGAAGACAAAGATTCTCACCACTGGACCAAATGGCAGCATCAGGATGGATGGTGAAGAGATTGAGATTGTTAACAACTTTAGTCTGCTTGACTCCAAGGTCAATACTCTTGGCACCAGTAGCCAGGAAATTTAAAAAAAAGTATTGTAATGGGAAAGTCTGCTGTTAGGGACCTCTCCAGGGTACTGAAGAGCAATGGTGTCTCTCTGGAGACTAAGGTGCATCTGATACAGGTTATGGTCTTTGCAATCACTTGTTATGCATCAGAGAGTTGGACAATGACTAGGGAGGATAGAAGGAGAATTAATTAATGCCTTTGAGCTGTGGTGCTGGAGAAGAGTATTGAATGTATCATGGACTGCCAAGAAAACAAACAGATTCATACTGGAAAGGGTTAAAAACCAGGCTGCTCCTTGGAGGCAAGGATTCTGGGGCTTCATTTGACTTTGCACATGGTGTAAGGAGACAGAGGTCCTTGGAAAGGGACATCATGCTTGCGAGGGTGGAGGGACAGTGCAGGAGGGGAACACCCTCTATGAGGTGGATTGATTCAGTGACTGGGGTAATTGGGATGGGTGTGGCAGTGGCAGTGCGATTGGTACAGGATAGAGCAGGGTTTAGGGCTCTTGTACATAGGGTTGCTATGAGTCGCAAGAGACTCGACGGCACATAACAACAACAACAACAATAATAAATCTCCTAAGTAGGAGAGAGTTCTGTGTGCCCACTGCAATGGGTTATTGGATCAACAGAGAAATGGAAAGTACAATGGGATGGCTGGCTGATAAAAAAAAATTGGAAAGAAGATTGGAGACAGGAGGTTTATCTGACTTCATAAGAATCTCTCTTGAGCAAAAATAGTAATAACATATCCGTTACAGGAATATTGGTTAAATATCAATGTTGTTGTTGTTGTTATGTGCTATTGAGTTGCCTGCAACTCATAGTGACCTTAAGTACAATAGCTCTGAAGCCTGCTCTGTCTTGAGCCAGTCTCACTGACTCTGATACTCCTACCTCCATTGCCTTAGTTACTGTAACAATCCATCTCTTCTGGGGTCTTCTGAGCTGTCCCTCTACCTTTCCAAGCATGATGTCCTTCTCCAAGGATCAGTTCTTCCTGGTCACATGCCAAAGCATGTGAGATGGAGCTTCAAATCCTAGCCTCCAAGGAAAAACTTGGTATCACCCTCTCCAAGGCAGGCCTATTTGTTTTCTTGGTGGTTCATGTTATGTTCAAGACTCTTCTCTAGCACCACAACTCAAAGGCATCAATTCTTCTTCTGTCATCCTTAGTCACTGTCCAGCTATCTGATGCATAGCAAGTAATCACATAGACTATGGATCAGATGCACCTTAGTCTATAGACTGACATCATTGCTTCTCAGTACTCTGGAAAGATCTCTGACAGCAGATTTAGCTAGTGCAATTTGTGTTTTGATTTCCTGACTGCTAGTGCCAAGAGTGTTGATTGTGGAGTCGAGCAAGTTGTAACTGTTTACAACCTCAATTTCTTCTCTATCCATCATGGTGCTGTCAATTGGCCTAGTGGTGAGAATCTATGTCTTCTTGATTCTGAGCTTCAATTCATATTGAAGACTACAGTTTTTGACCTTCTGCAACAAGTGCTTCAGGTTCTCTTCAGTTTTAGCAAGCAAGGTTATATCATCTGCATAATGTAGGTTGTTGATGAATCTTCCTCCAATCCTGATACCATCACATTCCTCCTCATAAAACCCAGCCTCCCAAATGATCTGTTCTGCATATAGATTGAAAAGATATGGTAACAGGACACATCCCTGATGGACTCCCTTCTTTATTTTGATATCAATAGAAGATCTAATAATTTACAGTTTTTTTCAACAACGTTTACTTTTATAATTACAAAGTCTATATCAAAACACTGCTTTTGATATCTACTAAGAATTACAGAGTTCTGTTTCCAGATTTACTTATTCGGCTATTATTTCAACTTAAATAATCTATAGTAAAAAATAAGGAAGATAGGATTATGCATGTATATTTGAATATACTATTTTTCTACTCTAAATACCAATTAAAGTGATTTATCAGTTTGATACTTCTCTTTAAAGATGAAAACAATAATTCTAAAGTATGGTACAAAATAACTTATGAGGGCATGGATTTATCATTCAAATATTTAATTTCAGTGGGTTAAAGAATGGGAACCAC